GCACTTGGTAACACAGGATAGTGATAAAGGTTAATTTGTTTGCCTAGTATTTTTAGAAAAAGAACATAACCCACTTAGATCCTCAGTATCCTCTGCTTACACTGTAGTAGGCTGGAAATAAAAGACTTAGGCCTGGCCTTCAACAGGTAGAAACACAGTATAAAAATTAGGTCCATGAACAGAGTGTCCTAATTATCTTCATGACTGCAAGATTCGAAAAGAAGCATCTGAACTTGAAGAAGTAGGTCAGCAGAGGAAGTGACTACATAACAACTGATGCAACATCCTGCCTTTAAAATTGATCCAACTTCCCATTTTTGTAATGTTCTGGATGAACACATTCTTGACCTAATTCTTTGAAGCTTACAGGTGAGTTACACCTCCTTCTTTTACAGACTTTTCAGGATACTTTTTAGGCAACAAGCTTTGCTGCTACCTCCAAGTCTCTGGGCATAACCTGATCCAACCATTTCTCAGAAAGATCCCTACAGCCTCTTAACTGCCACGCCTTCCTGACCAGCTCAGCAAGTCATCATCTGAAAAAAACTTCCTTCGACCCTGCCACAGAATGGATTAAAAAGGTGAACAGGCATAGGCCACAGTCTGAGAAAGCAGTTTAAAATCAATCTGCTCTGTGTGCCTGGAAAGAAGGTTGCAAAGAAAAGATGATTATTTGAAAATTATGGGAAAGTTCTCACTCAGGCCAGCTTGCAATCTGTTGGGCTACAAGAGAGAGGCAGACTTCACACCAATTTTTCCTGAGCAATCTGACAGGTAAACTGAAATACTTTAATAAGTGGCTGTTCTCCTGCCATGCTACCTCACCCAAGTGCCAGTACTGGTTCCACAGGAACATGTCTCTGTTGTTCAGACAGAACTGACTCACACAGGGACACCTTCACCAGAACCTGCGTTCAGTTCGCTTCCGCCTGCGCACACCAGGTTCCTGCAAAGAAGGGTCTCTTAGTGGTTTACTGTGACACTGTGCTCTACAGAGAGAAACTTGCTCATTTGGGTGAACACAATTAGCAGCCTTTTGTACTTAATTATTTAAAAACTTCAGCACTTTTTTCTCTTTGGAAGCCCTTTCTTCAGTCATAGTTTCAGTTTACATTTATCTAGCTCTTAACAGCTTCCTTTGATTCAAATAATATCAAGCAGATAAACATAGGTTATTCTTCATAGCAGTAAAAAAAGGATTTATCAAGTGATATGCAATTCTAATTCATCTAAATGTAATAGCAGAGACTGCAAAACATGCACTTTGGGGCAACGAAATAAATTCATGCTTACTTGATGATAGGTGAAGAATATATTTGTCAGCATTTACTACTTCCATTACCAATATCTATTTTTCTTGTTCAGTACCTGTCCTTTGACAAATTAAACATTTTCAGTGAAAAAACAAATTATCATCTATGTAGTAATTTTACTACCTACTGATAGGAACAGACATACCTGAACACCTCCAAATCCATTAGGAGCTAAGTAGCGTTCACACTCCTGAGCAATATCCTGCCAGCGCCATTCAAAGAGATGCACAATAGATGTTCTCTTTGGGAGAGTGTTGGGGTTGTACTGCCCCCAGCAGAGCCCTGCAGTTAACAGCAGAAAATAGATCCCCATCCAGTGCTTTGTGATCAGTTCTGCTCTTCTTACTAACTGTCCATGTTCCTGCAAGAGGGTAAAGTCCACATTAGAAAATACACATTTAAAGGTAAACTCATCTCTGGCATCATATTTATTTACTTGTCATTTTATATGAGAACTGGATTTTATCCAAACTATATCAAATTCCCATACTAACAGTAACTCTGTTTTCATGCAGTTAAAATTCAGATGTTGCCTAATGCAGGCTGCCACCAGAATGCAAAAGTTGTGGTTTTATTAGTATAAAGCAAAAAAGTACTCCAAAGGGCAAAGAAACACTTACATAGATGGCAATGGACATTTTATTTCTCATTTTAATGTACATTATTATACATTCTTACTTATCCTTGAGAGGCATGTTTTTTTACAAAATGGTGCTGCTACAACTTGAACATATTTGGACAAGTCGCATATGAACAATGCAAGTTAATTACTGAGGAAGAACAGTGCCCAGTTTCACAGTACCAATTCAGTAATATTTGTCCAATATTTGTCAATATTTGGACAAGACCTTGCAGAAGCAGCATATTTAAACCATGATTTGTTATGAAACCCCAGATATTCTGGAGGTTTCACATATGTGAGTCTGTCATTCACAATATGCACGACATCTCTCATTCAATCAACAGCCTAAAACCTGGAAGATCTCTCAGATACAGAAATCATTAATTATAGTGACTCAAACCCAGAAATGCTGCATGTCTGATCTCAGCACACCTGTTTGTGTGAAGATATTCTCCTTTTAAGAATGTGGGCCATGGCATGCAGATGTTAGAAGAGCTGTGGAGCTCCATATCTTTCTAAGTGCCCAAGTACAAAGAGTTCTGCAAAAGGAGCTCTCCAGAAGCTTGAAATCAGCTACATCCCCTTCTGATGAGCTAGGTTAGGAACTAACTGCATTTCCCAACCCATATCCAATTTGTAGGGGATGACAATCCTATTAGGGACAAAGACAACAATCTTTGTCTCTCTTTTTCATCACTGTGAGAGATACAACATGTAACAAACCAGAAATGAAACAACTATCAAGGTATATGTTACTCTATTGAGAACCCTATTTCGCACTCTTCACATTTAGAAGTTGGTTTGGAGAGTCTGAGATACAAAGAAATCCTACAAAAAGAATTTCTGCACACAAATGGCTGAACTAATACTTCCCTGAAATAACAAAACACAGAATCTTGTTACTTTCCTGTATCTATTGTTTATAAAAAGTTATTTTACAGAAATGACACAGAGCAAAGAGAGATTCCTGTCACAGGGGAAACCAAACACCTCAGTGAAGGTTTAAACATGAACACAAGGGCCCTCAGGTTTGCTGCACGATGGAAACCAGTGCTTTTCCAGTGCTTTTAATACACACATGGGAATGCATTGCTGAACGCTCTTGACGTGCTGTGATACAGAAACCCAGACATAAGTTTATATATAATCATACATGACTTCTACAAAACTGCCCTCGTTTCTGCTTCAAGGAAAGGATGATCCATGTCTCTCAGGTAGTGAAGCACTCTTTGGAGCAACTTTAGGCACAAAATATAGCAGTTTATAAAGTGTAGAACATGCCTTCCAGAGCCTACTGCTATTAGCTGTCACTGTTCTTCTCAAGCAGGCAGAGTTACTTTGAACTAAGCATTTGGTATATTTAGCTTGTTTTTCTGCTTGTGAACAAAATAACTTTAATACAACATAGTTGTAAATCTTCGGTAAAGTATACAGATTAAGTTTCAGCCACAAGCAGTTGTTCTGGGTGCTTCCATTTTCATGAAGGAATGCTTTTTGACCCTGATAAGAACATACATTGAAAGAAAATGAGCAAAGAAAATTTGATCTTCTTTGATAAGAGAAGCATTTATCAGATTGGCAAGTCTTATTTCCAGCAGTAAATACACAAAGTAGTAAGAATAATGTACCTTGACCCAACCAGGTCCAAAACTTAGTGCTTAAAGACTCAATGTAGATTTTAATTTCTCTGAAACGGGTTTATGGCTGCTCTGCCTTCAATACAATCAATAACAAGAGAATGGGGATGTTGAAATCCTCATCGCATTCTGATGGCTCTAGCTTCAGAATATTTTTGAAACTTGGAAAAATAACAAAAGACTACGTGGAAGAGAGCAACACTGACTGCCTGCAGAGAACTCGGGAGCGGAGTGTCGCTACAGAGCCCTACTGCTCTCCTGGCCAACACGGGAACTCGGGTCACCTTCTCTTCTGCTGGGTCACGGCCTGAGCCGTGCGGGCCAGCCGCCCTCTGCAACACACCTGCAACCCCCGTTAGGTCTGCGGGACGTCCGACGCCGTGCTGCTGAAGCTGCAGCTGCCAAAGGCTGTCACAGGGAAGGGCAGCGGCGGCCCTGTCTCCTCCAGCGGCTCCCCACGGATGTCCCCGCAGCAGCCCCGCGTTTGCCGCAGGCGAAGCAAGCCCGCTTGCTTGGGCCGCCCTTTCGGCGCCTCCCGGCAGCGCTCCCCGTGCGGCCGGGCCGCGGGGCTACGTGCGGGGGCCGCCCCTTCCGCCGGGCCCGCCCCGCCACGGGGACAAGGCGGGATGGGGCGCAGCTCCCCGAACGGGCACTTCCCGCACGTTTTTACAAAGAATTTTTGTCCTTGAGCACAGCACCACCTTGCTGTACTCCCACTTCGGCACTTTGAAAATTCACTCTGTACGTGTAGCTCAACATGGGTGTTAGGACAGATTAAAGTTGAAAAAACCCTCTAGGATTAAAGGAACAATTACACAGTCCCCATGGGAATGCAGCAAGTAAACTAGTAAAAATTCCACTGACAGCACTTTAAAGTAATCTGCTAAGCCAGTTCAAATTTGAAAAAAAATAGCAAAGATAGACTTTGGTCCAGCCACCAATACTAGGGATTTAGACTGTATGCAGCTGGAATAATGACAAAAATCTTTTACACCAGCCAATTCCCACACCATCAACTACGATTTAAGTAATTTATGGAATAACTTTAAGTCCACTGGACTAGAACCACTTGTCAATTAAACGTCATTGTAATGTTTCCCACATGGTTTCAGACAGTTCCACTGACCAGCCCAGTACGTAGCAAATCCTACTATGTGACCACTGTTATTATCACCCTCAACAGAGCAAGGACCACATCTGTACCAGTTTTAACAGCTACTCTGGTTTTAATGACTTCAGTCCCACTAGTGACAGTTTTCAAGTAGCATATGAACAATGCAGGTTAATTACTGAGGAAGAACAGTGCCCAGTTTCACAGTACCAATTCAGGCCAATGCACCAGTCCTTCTGCTAGGCCTTCAAGACAACAAAATCCGTCCCACTCAAAACCCCAAGAACTGAATTCAAAACAAAGAGAAGGCAGCAAAATGAAGAGAAGGGAAATAATTTATTAGATTTCACAAGCAATCTAACATACATTTATGATGCAAGTCTTGTGATATTTAAATGTATATGGAATCTTTATGATGTGAGAATTTATTCTCTGCCTTAAGTACTTTAGAAATGCTACTACGCACAGTTCAAGAGTCCTGATGATTGCTTCTTCCCCAGCTTGGTAATAACTTGAAAGAGATGGAACACAAAAGGGACCTGGAACATCACAAAGGCATGTTAAAAGTAAGAACTACAAGAAACAGCAGTGTTATATTGGCTTTTGACAACTAAATTGAAAGATGCTTAGTGTTTTAAAAAGTGCTTAATGTCTGTGAAAAATACATCTTAATAAATGCAGGCTGTATTAACTTAATATTATAGAAAGTTAAACAGTAATGTAGTATGAAACCCACAGGAAACATGTAAGTCACTAGCAACAACACTACCTCAGTGCAGAGAGCAATCTAACAAAACCCAAACAACCAACAAAAAGGTAGCAGTGAGTTGATTATTAGTCCAGCTCCAAATACTTAATTGCAAGATATTGTTAATTTTCTTCTTTACTCTAAAAAGACAAAGTAAGGAATGTATAAACTAAATCAACTCCAGATTTTCTCATGTAGCAGGACAACAGTAATCATCAAATGATCTAAAATACTGGTTAACCCCTTAATATTAAGACGGCTCTGCAATATATTTTAGCTAACATATTATTATATTAATATGTATTTAAAGAAAAATAAGTTAACTTGGTCAGTGAGAGCTCAGCACAGCTTCACATAGATCAGCTGGTATGAGCTAGAACTTGCACTAAGGAATAGGACCACAAATTAACAGGGTGAGGAGAAAGGTGAAAGGCACCTTTTCAGATTGAGAACCTTCATTGTGTCTATTCACACAACACAGACATTGGCTTCTTTTTTCCCCCCTGAAAAAACTTGTTTTTTAAAATGATTAGATTAGCTCGGGCTTAAAACACATTAACTCCTCCCCACACCTACTCTATATGAAAACTTAAGATGCAGTTGAGTGCTACAGGAAACATTGCACAAAAAAAGGATACAACAAGAAAGGATACACTCTGCATGACAGTATTACTGCAGTATTTACGCAGGAATGTTTCTAAAGAAGAACAGCAGAATGTGGTTTAATTTTATTTGATTCTCAGTATTGCACACACATAACTTTATGCTACCTAGCAAAAAAAATCAAATATGCCTCTTTGATAAAAAACAGTTCTAACACCTTATGAGATTTAATGAGGTCTGATAAGTCCATCGACACTAAACTTCATATTCAAAAGTAAATACATTTTTTGGTAACTTGAACTATTAGGATAGCAGCGGATTTTTCCATCTCCTTCAAGTCTTTGCCATTTTACAGATTCACTTTATTTCCATCAGGTCCAAAACCCAAACATGTTTCCCTTTAATGCCAGCTTTCAAACCACTTCTTCCCTTAGAAGAAGCTGGAGACCTCTCAACATCAGTTTCTTCCACATAACTTTTCTCCCAAAAAGAAACTTTATTATTTTAGCTAAAGGAAAAAGTCACTTTAGGTGAACTTTTTGCCAGTCTACAAATAAAGACATTTCTGCCAGCAAGGAGTTCTACAGCATTTTTATAAATCATGTGTATTTTTTGTAAAAAAGTATAAAGCCTTTGTAGAAAAAATTAAAAAACAAAACCAACAACACTAGACTCATGTTTTTGCATTCATGGAATTATGTATCATAAATCAGCATCCATCAGAATATCCCATCAGGAACAGGAAAACATGTTAAGAAAAGTCATGCTTAAATAGGGTTCAGATTAACCATTACTTAGGAAATGCAACAAATATTTTTAATTAAACCTCACGGATCCTTAGAAACCCGTTTAATTCCATGGCACATTGTTATGACTACAACATATAAACAGTCAAGGTAAGTGAGAAGTTTTCCCATGGACAGAACACCAGGGACACTTGTAAGATGGCAACTCATGAAAGACTTTCAGACTTTACACAATTAAATCTTGCCCAAGTAGTGTTTACTCACTCTAAAAAAAGCTTCTGAGTTGACAATCAACATAATAAGTACCTTGTTATTTTCTTTATGCAATTCTAGTATTTAGCAAGTTTAATGAATTCAGAATTAATGTACAAAATTAGTTGAAAAGACATGGAACTCCTAAAAGAATGAAAAGTGCTCAGGCTTCATCTGTCAGGTTCTCCAATAACTAAAATTCTTCAAATTTTTTTGATATAAGAAACCTTAGTAATATTATTAGACACTAGATAATACAAATAGAAGTTTTTTTCTAAAAAGAAAGGAGTGAGAAACAAGACCGAAATATTCTAATAAATACTTGATCCTAATAGAACATTTTAGCCAAGGCTCTGTTCTCTCTTTTCAAAGACTAGTACAGAAGGCAGCCTATAAAAAAGGTGATCTTTAATTTGACAAAATACAGATTTTCCAAACCACAAACAGTAACACAAAATAGGAAGTAAGACCAAATAGCATTTCAGCTATGAGGGAAACAAGTGAAAAAATCTGATTTTAAAAATCCTTTGACAATGCACAGAATGAAGAACCTGCAATTAAGAGTAGCTGTTAAAAACAGAAATTCCACCATGACAATAACCACACTGTGGGCTTTACAGCCGATTTGTAAAAATCAAAAACAACTATTAACATCCTTTATTTCCAATTCAGGTTTTCTTCAGAGCAACAAGGATCAAGCTCCAGATTAAAAACACACCATGGGTTAAGTAATGTTTCATAAGCACTCAGGCTAAGATTTCAGGCTAATTTTGTTCTAAGCAGAGGAATAACCAGAGTGATCTCAACTGCAACCAGGAATTAAGGTCAATGCCCTTTAAATTTGAGCTAGCTCATGTATCAGAGAATGCAGATTGAGAAATAAATGCTTTTTATTCTTGCACCAGTTACTTCACATGGTCATTTGAGAGTTCATTATGCAAATCTTTGCAGTCTATGAAACCACTCAGGTAAATTAGAGCTAATTTTACTTGACTTACTTTCACAAAAATGAAATACACTTAGTATTGTAGGTAGCATTGAAGTAAAACTACATGATAAGAAATAAAATTAAATAACAACTTTCTGCTAGAAATTACTTCCTCATCATGTTTATGTAATGCCAAAAATCAGGACCTACACATTCCACAACAAAGGAAGCCTTAAACAATGCAGCATTAAGCAGCACTTTGTGACAGATCGTTCACTAATTCAGACAAGTTTAAAGGGTGGTACAACAGCACTAAGAACTCATTTTCTAAAGTTAGCAAAGACCCTTTACAGCTAACAGGAGTTTACTGCTGGAACCAGTTCTTCAGGATCACTTTACAATAGCAAGGGTGGAAAGGAAAGAGTTAAGAGGCAACACTTCTCACTACCAAAACCCTGGATGATTTATACAAGGTAAATTGTCCAATTTCAAAAAAATTATTCTCCTTATCTCTGCAGATGAAGGAATAGAGAAACTGACAAGCTCCCTATGATATGACGATTAGGAAAATATCAGTCACTGAGTTTTTTAACAAAGAAAAAAGCAAAGTTTTAAATTTACACCAAGTATATACCTTGCACTCTGTTCTTCTGATTTAAGAAAAGAAATTTGTATGGAACATTTCCTCTCCATCATCAGTATTCCTAAAGAAGCTGTTAGCGTAAATAAAACCAAGCAAACACTACAAAACCCCACAGCCCAATTCTTTATTTTTACTTTCAGGCAGAGTCCATACCTTGTAGAGTGTTTTACTTTTTTCTTTTCCCTTCATTGGCATCTTGTTTTGGTCTAGCTGAACGGGCAAATTGCTGAGATTCTGTTAAGGACTACAAGTATCTGATAAGTAGAAGTCAATCAGTCTGGACAGTGACCTTTATCTGTGAATCAATTCCACTACAGTATGAAGTATTATAACAACAGTTGTCTCCCGGTCAAAGATTGGGACCTCACTGATACACAGTACTGCAGTTATTCAAGAGCCTGTAAGGAGGACTAACTGGGAATGGGCTAGATGCAAACAGGGTAAGTACAGTAGAATAAATGCTTGATATTTACAAACTTCCAACCCAGCATGTTAATACTTAACTTTGATGTCTCAGTACTTGAGAGGAAAAACAGTAAAAGCAGCAGATGCTGCGAGTTACTGTGAGCATAAAGAAACTGAAATAAACGATGAAATATTTAAGTGAAAAATAAGAAAGGACTTGCACACAAAAAAAAAAACCAGTGTTATGCAATCAAAAAGTGACATTCCAGTTGAAAAACCAGTCTAGAGACCACTTACAGGAACATTTCTTATGTTCTTCATTCTGTAGACACAGACCTAACCAAGTCAAAAACCTTGTATTTAATTTAAATTCAGTGGTCATACAAACTAAATTATCTTTTGTATTGTCTTTGCAGGATCAAAGATGTAAGACCAGCGAATTTCATTCTTAAAGATAGCACTTTTACTTTCCTGTTTCAAAAGACTTCCCTCTCTGTTTTTTTCAGCTACCATAAATAGTGCACTGTGTTAGTGCTGACTGATTTTCTTAAGGCATTTTCTATTTTGCAGAACACTATGACAACAAAACTAGAGATTAGCAGAGATTACAAAGAATATAATGTAAATGCTCAAAGGAAAGGATACAACCACCATGGGTTTTTCAAACAAGACATAGCCATTTGCTTCCTTTAGTGCTTTAGCAGCTGCTTTCTCATTGGGAAGTCCAATGAAAGCCTGTCCCTTCATACGGCCTTCTTTCATCAAACGGATATCAAACCTAGGGCACAAGTGGGAATTACTCACATTTAACAAACCTTGCAGATTTCACAGTACAAACACATTCTCATGCTTCATGTGGGAGAAATAGCAGAAACAGAAGCAAAGCCTACAAGGAAAATTAAGGCCTTGGAGACCACTTTGCTTGGGGAAACCATTTACTAAAAGGTAACATTAAACTGCAGGACGGCAAATTGACGTGCAGTACTACTACATAGGACATATGCAAAATCATCAGATACACACGATCACCTACACAGCTCTTTCTGTGTCACAGAGCCAAGAAAAGCAAATCTGGGAATGAAAATATATAAAAAATGTGAAAATATATTTTTTAAAAATAAAAAAATATATTTTTTATTTTTAAATGTAACTTAAAAATAAAAAAAATAATAGGCTCTTCAATCATGGTTCATGAAATAATTATATGTCTTAATCTTTATAAATGAGGATTTTTAGCTGTAACTAGTTTTTGCTTTATGAAGAAACACAGAAAACATAAATATGACTATTTTTAAAATACCAGTTTTCAGCAGTGTCATAGAAGTTAATATAAAAGGCTTAATTTTAACCAAGTATGAAATGAACTCACATATTGCGTTCCACCTCTGATTGGAAGTCAACATATCTTCCAAAAATGAACTTAAGATCCTGAAATTAAAGTGTAGGTGTAAGAAAAACGCTAAGAAAAAGCCCTTTAGATAGATACTTAATTTGCTTGCTTACCTACCTTTTCTTGAACTTGTTTAGCTAAATTCTTCACATATATCCTGCAATTTGGATCACCTGGCTCATAGTTTTTGAAAACGGAATATTTTTCCATTTCTTGAAGACAAAAAAAATAAACCATGCTTTAGCTCATTTACTTTGCACATTTGCTCAGTGTAAAATAATTTACTATATGCTCAGTTAAGAAAATAAACACTTATATAAGCTATTTGTTGCAACAAATGAAAAAGCTACTACTAGATAATATAGTCTCACAGTTATACCTTCTCTAGAAAGTCTGTTTTTTTCTAGATCCTTTCTAGAAATAAATTCTGATGGTATTTCATCATCTTCCTCTTCAGTTTCCATTTTATCATTTGAGCTAGGAGCTGGGAAAATCCTTCCAAAGCCTGTATTATTGATTTCTTCTGTGGCTGCATAAAGGTCTGAAATGTCAACAAATTATGTAAGTGGTTCGTACATCCATTCACACCAAGATCAAGAGCCAGAAAGAAAACCATATTCCTTCCAGCAACGTTATAATAGAGCACACTTTGCAAGGCAATTTGAATGCATCCTTAAAAATGAGTCTTAATCCCTGGTTTGACAAAAGCACCTGCTCTGTACAGTCCTATAAAACCCCATGTAGCACAAATAAAGGCCACAGCACACATTAGTTAACATAAAACTTGCCTTGCTGTTCAATCCCGTATCCATTACACTAGATTCCCTTAAAGAAACTGGATATTACTGTAAAGTACCAAGAACCACAGATTGACTACACCCTCTGAAAAGCCATCACACCCCATTGCTATCATTGCCCAGATGGCAGATAATCAATCCACCAGAGAAAAGGGGCTGGCAGTCACTTGGATGCCGCTCTCTAAGAGCTGGAAAGGAAAAATCTGAAACTAGCCTGATATATTCCTTTACACTATAAAGTACTGAAAATCTGTAACATTTGCACACTGACATTTAAAAGACACTGCAATTCACCATAAACCTTTAGAGCACATAGGAGAGAGACCTTTAAAATCCCCTGGATCCTTTGCAAAACTTGTAACGTGGGACAAACGGCAAATACAAATATGACACAACTTGGTGTTGAAAGCTCCAACACAATAAAGGAAAATAAAAGAATTTCCTGGTGTAAATTTTAGCACCCTTTTACATACTGAAGCCACAACTTAACATTAAATACATCTGAAGTACAAACTCTCTTACCATTTTTTTCTTCTTTTTCTGAGTTTATCTGAAGAACAGCTGGGATCTCAGTACTAATATGAAACTCTATTTTTTTATGACCTATGTGCTGCGGCTGCTCAAAGACATCTGAAGGTGACAGTGTAGGGTGCGAATTACTGTTCAAAACAACAACATGGTAATTAAAGATTCAGACATTGATTAATGCATGGTCAAAAACAAGATTTCTTCCAGTTAGATGTTATGCAGTTGTTTACCACAAACACATCCTCCATTTTGTACACTTCACTCAACAGAGTTTCAGGTGATTACAACACTGCATATACAGTATATACATTACATATTATATACATATTATACATTATATATATTAGGTATGTCTGGCAGTGGGAGCAAAACCAGCAATCACATACCACAGTACAATACACAGAGGCATTAATTAAAACATTCATCAGTAACTTAAGCATGAAAAATAACTGGCCTTGCTGCTGCTGTCACCTAGTGTGTAAAATATACTACATTTTAAAAAAATGTAGCAAACCACTTGGAGGAAACAGGCAGCCATTAGTAAAAATGCATTCACAATCAGTCGTCACAACATAGAAATACTGCACTGCTGTCTAGTGTGGCACAGAACTGCAGTTCCAAGACCCAAACTTATTTTAAAGCAAGCCAGTTTCTATTCTTCCAGTGTCATACTTTTAATCTTTTAAGAAGCAGCCCAAACAATAAATCCGAATTGCTTCTGTCACAATTGTGATATGAAACTAGTCATCTTTCTATGAAAAGGAATTTCTATTAGTTTGAAAGGAAAAAAAACAGAGCTTGAATCAGGCACACTTTAAGGTTGTTGAGCAGACTTTAGTTCAAACTAGAGGAACATTAGGATTTTTAGACCAAGAAAACCAATAGGATAAGTGCAAAAATCACAAACCTGTGGGAAGTACACACTGGAACATTCAACATGTCTTTAATTCTTTGCTTTTTTCTAACACCACGTTTCTTTGTGTTTATTGGTCTTTTAGGCTGAAGGGTCGCTAATTCCATCAACTTGGTCATTCTATTTTAAACAACAAAAAAATCCAAAACCAAAACAAAACAAAGAGGTTTACAATTTATTTGAAAGTACTAATTTTAAAAACCCTCCCCCTTTCCTTAAAGCTCTTGACATAGAACTTTCCAGAATATAACTGTAAAACTATCTTAAAACCAAAACTGTAACACACAGCAAATCAATATACAGAAAGCAGTTAAGGACTGACCAAAATCCTAACATGTCAGTGATGCCCTTCCTTCCCCAAGCATGCTCCTTACTGGGACACTGAAGCCATAAGAAGCTGTGATGCCCTGAGCTGAACTTGATTTTAAGACAATGAACAGGGGTACCTTTTCCCAAATGATGTGTTTTTCCAAATACAGCATAAAGACTTTCTGATTTACTTCTCAGTAAAGTACTTCTCAGTTTAGACAGCAAAGAAAAAAGCTGCTTTTTAATTTAGTGTTAGTTTAAAGATTAAAAAAATACAGCTATGATGTAATTCAGTCCCAAAACTGCAAGAGAATCCTCAGCACAAATATCACCCCTAGAAATATTCACTGACGTACAAAGAATGTTCTGGAAGTTGGTGTGCATAGATGATTCAGGCTGAGGAGTCAATTTAGAAAGATGTGGAACAATGAAGACTTCAAAAAATAATCTAATTTCTGCTTCCGTACATCTGCATTCTTCTAGCTGAGTTTTTGTTAGTTTTTTTTGGACATGGGAACAAATGAAAATTTGCACACCAGTAGGCCACTTTTCTTTTCTTACTGCATTTAAACCTGCACTGTTCTTCTGCACTCTAGAGTTTCTCAAAGCATCTGTTAAGATTTCTAAATACTGTTTACTAGATGCTACATCTATATGCTGCAAACGTTACTATTTGCTGAACTGGAAGCTAGAAAAGTAAAACCACCACTTTAAGCGAGCCCAAAACTTGCAAATGACTGTAAAATGCATACCTCTCCTTTTCCTCATCATTATCACTTTCATATTCTGATTCATCCCCACTAGACAGTCCTTCCTCTTCCTCTTCAGGTAAAGGAGGCTCTTCAGGAGGCAGAGGTGGGATTGGGGGAGGTGGCACAGGTGCTGGTAAATACTCTTCGTACTAATTATGGGGGAAAAGTTTAAAAAAATTAAAGTTTTTAAGGAAAAAACCTAAACATATCTTGTTTTCTTAATAAAAACAGTCAAAGCAATAAATGATAATTTAACAAGTATTTTCTCAAAGCATTCTTATAGGGATCTAGATACCATTTTGGTAAACTATATTACTAATGAAAAACTTTCCACAAGAAAAAAAAATAAATCTGTTTTTTGAAGCATAACAGAGAATGTTTTAATTCTTTGAAGTTGAGGTGATAAAAAAATAAATCAACCATGACCCTGGATTTTCACTTTGCACTCAGTTTCAAGGACTTTCCCAAAAAGAATGTATTTCTTCAAGGAGAAGAATATAGTCAAAGCAATGGGTGAAGGCTTAGGCTCCAAAGCCATCTCAGTTTCAACAGTGAACTAACAGTTAGAAACATTCCAGTGCTGCTACCATAGATGAGTATTTCTTTGTTCTAAGTACAGTCAAAAGAATTGCTTTAGAAGACCAGCATGTACCCAGTGAACTGCAGCAGGATTTGCAATCCGCTTAAGATTTACACCTCCTACCATGCCGCTAACATTTTAAATTGTGAATCAATTCCATAATACTGCAAACATATATTTAAAATATTACCATGGGAGGCCGAGCAGTAATTGGTCCAAAAGGTGGAGGAAGATTCATTTTATTCATCAGATGAAGTACCTGAAATGAGTCAAAATAAGTAGGTTTCCTTTGAGTAAGTGAGTGGTAACAGTTTCTTGCTAGGTAAAACAGCCAATCACTCCTGGCAGGTGTAAATCAGCACAGTTTTAATGTTCAGGAACAATGTGAAACCTGCACTTGAGATCCAACACTAATAGTCAATATAAGCAACACCCTAACAAGTCTAATAAAGAAAGTACAGCATCTTCTCAGAGTGAAATTCTAGGTACTCAAGTCACATCTTATTTGGCAGAGCATATCCAGCCAAGTCTTCAGTGTCAATTAAGTAATCTACATCAGGTTAATAAAATCTCACCACTTCAGCACAGAAAAAAAAAAAAAGACTGGCTAACACAATCACAAAAAAAAAAAGTATTTACTATGACAAAAATAGTTACTTCTGTGGATAATTAAAAGAAGAAAAATTAAATGTTTTGAATTTTATACTCTTTTGTTTCCTGGTTTTCACTTACCTGGACATAAAATTTGGGCACACTTGCCAAGGCATTTGCTATATTTGCTAGAATTGCACTTGAAGGTGGTGGATACAAATATTTGAGGCAAGAATTGATGGGGAAGGTGAGGCTGAGGAAAAAAGATTGAAAACAAGACACCTTAACATTACTTCCACTTAATCACTGGTAACAACAGAAGATTACTAAAGGCTTAACTATTGATTACATTTGAAGTAAAACTGAAATATTATTATTTCTCCTATAACAGTTTTGGGCCACTTACAATGCCTTTAACAGCAAGGAGTGGTCCCCTGTGCCTGACAGATTTACTGGGCTTGGGCATAATGAAAATATCAAGCCATGCAGAAGCCTAAAGCGAACAGAAACAATCAACATGTCCAAAACCAGAAGCACAACATAGCAGCCTGTACAAGTATCATAACCTCAAAGGGCTGCATTAGCTTCAAAAAAATTATTACTTCCTGTATGCTAAAATGAAAATGGGGGAAAAAAAGGAAGAAACATCATGAAAACCAAGTCAGTGGTATTCTGCTGTTAATGCTGGGAGAACCTCTGCCCTCCAACCCCCATGAGCGCATGCATAGTGCCAGAAGGCTGTTCTGTAATCTACAACTTCACAGCTCAAAGCACCAGTCACTACCCAGCTGTGAGGATTCTAAAATTGAGGAACTGAAACTTCATCATTATGACAACTATCCTACAGCTATGGCTGAGGAACAGTAGCATAGGAGGAAACAAAACTCTTGTTCAACAGTACAGAACACATTTCAAAATAATCTGTAACAGAATAAAACAATTAAGATAAATAGAAACCCAACACTAACCCATGGTTGGGTGCAATTCCATGCTCTATTTTAACACAGTTTGGCTCCATCTTCTCTTCTTTCACTGGTTCTTCTAAACTGAAAATTAATTTAGTCATAATTAAAACAGGGCAACATTTAGATATGGCTTATGTAATATATAAAATATGCATCATCTATTAATAGAAAAAATAAGCACAGGTATTTTTAGCATCTTTTACCAATTGCATTAATGCAGCTGTTATCAATTCCTCATATTTAATACATGTAATTACAGTAGTGACAGTCTTCTAAAATAAATACTTGTGTAGATTTAAGTAAGTCTCCCTATATTAAAACATTCCTGACTTAAATCCACTCACAGGAAAAGAACTGAAATAGTTTATCATGCACTCTGTTCAGAGATCATAAATTCAGAGGTGTTAAATAATTGATTTGTTCATATTCAGAAAATGGAATATATAACTTGAAAACTACTGCAGTATTTTTAATTAAGTACATAATAAAAATAAGCACCACATAGCTTTTATCGCATATTTTTATTATTAATAATATTTTAATACAGTATTTTAAATAGACAATATTATATACTAGTATTATCATCATCACTTATTTTTATAATTTATTTTCACATTCCACAGGTAATGACACAGTTCTGCAGGGAGGAATGCAGTCACTCTCCTACAGATCTGAACCCGTTTGTTAAGACTTCCAAGCAGTTACAATTTATCCCTTGAGTTAGAAGTACTACCAAAGTACCACAAATCCACAATCCTCTTTCCTTGACCATAAATATAACACGGAAATTATTCTGCACATACCTTTTGCACTTGTCTGAGACACAAGGCTGGCTAAGTACCTGTGCACTCTCTTGCTCCTTTGCAAATTCAACAACTAACGTGTGACCTAGAAGTTTCAGCTGATGCAGTCTTGATAAAGCCTTCAAGTAATTACAAAGAAGAAAAGAAAAAAGGGAAGAGCACAAACATAAGAATTATTTGAAAGCATGACTGTTTTTATTATGAGTGGCACACTGGCTATAGGATGCAGTCCCAGCTGCTTTAAGTGAAATCTGTGCTACTGTGGACACGAGTTTTGCATGGTTTGTGTCTTCCCAGCCCCTCTTTTAAGCAGCACTTCCTGCTAGCAGAAAGGAATGGGACCAGGCTGCACCACCAGAACCACTGCAGAGGTCGGTCACCTGAACACAGCAGCAGCTTTAACAATCAGACTTTTCAAACAGCCTACTAAATTGCTGGAATTTCAAGTAACCAACCTTCTGCTCATGAAGTACAAACATGCTAAACTCTGTCAGTAACATCTAGGAATTTTAAAATCAGGATTCTAACAGAGGTACTAGGAAGATCCAGCATTCTTCAAGTCCAGAACCCAACAGCCTGCTAATAACTGGCACAAGTACCTAATTCACCCCTGCTCACCTCACAGAGTTTTAGTCCTTCAAAGTGTAGTCTAAAAAAAATAGGAGCAGCAGAAGAAAATAACAAACAAACAAAAGAAACCACCAAAAAGCCTCCAAAAACCAAACAAAAACAAAAAAACAAACAAGAAACCCAAACAAAAAACACCCCAAACCCAAAACAACACCCCAAGGTATAAGGGGGAAGTTCTGACACAGGCTTTTTAACCAGACTAGTATTTAAAAAGCATTATTAGTATTACCTTTTTGGCATCCATATTCCCTATTAATACTGTAGTTTTCTTATCAAAGCTGGGCATTCAAGGCAGACTTGGATAGTGAGTATAACTAGGGCTTACTTTTATGGCAAATACACAATTAGGCAGGAGACAAGGAAACTCTGGTTTATAGCTTGTATATAAATGCACACCAATCCTAAACAGGGCTCTGATCAGTCTCAGCTTCTGTGAGCTTGCCAGGCTCTGTGTGACAGGCTGGCTCGGATGACTTCCACAAACCCCTTTCAATCTGCCTTTCTTAGGACTCTACCAAGTGTTCAAGAATTTAATCAAGTTCTGCAAGCAAATCCTGAAACAGAACTCTAATACTACATGGTGCTGCTTTGTTTTTTCCTAGCACTAAGCACCAGATTCTATGTAAACCACATTAGAGCACTGGGAATTCAGTGCTTTGCTAAAACATTCACTAACAAACTCAATACAAACCTTTGCAGCTGCATTTTCACTGGGAAAGGTGGCAAAAGCAGTATGTTTCTAGAAAAAAACAAACAAAAAAGATATACTGTATTTGAATCAAAAAGGTAAGAGATTGCAGGTAAAACATTGAACCTTTGTTGACTACTTTGTTAGGTCAAATTCACATATTTGAAAGCTTCCAGACGGTAGTCATCTAATTCCCATTTGGGCCAACTAGAAAACATTTTTCTTACGAATTTAAGGAAAGTACCTCCTGGCGTCAAACTTAAGACATGAGCTGAGTAGTTTGAGGAATACAGGACAAGTGGTCTTTTTCTAGCAAGCAAAAACAATTCTAAACTGCAAGAAAGTACATATGGATAAAGAGGTCTAACCCTGTTCCAAACCAGAAAATTCATCCGAGCACCTCACAAAACATTTTCATCAAAGTAACCCCTAGAAGTAATGCTCTTTCTGCTACAAAAGTTGCAACTATTGTACTCTGAACGTTTGAAAGGTTTCTAACCTTTCCCACAATTTTCCAAGTTAAATCAAATCCTCACAGAATACACCTTTCAAAGTTAAATTTGTTTTAACAAACTTTATTACCCTATCTTGCCACATGATTCTATACCCAAAATCACTATAAAAATATTCGATATCCTATAAACAATGACCCTGATAAAATACGAAGACATTATCAATCTGCAGATCTGCAAAACACAAGGCTCTTTATGAGGAGTACTTAACACAAAACAAATACATCCATATTTTCGTAATCTGGAGGAAGAAGAAAGCAGAACAGCGATTTCAAGAGAACTGTTTGACTGCATCCCTACACGTGCCAAGAAACCCTTCTGCACTGCTTAACCCCAGCCTCACTGGTAGCGGCAAGAGGCCAAAGCCGCGGGCAGAGGGCTTGCGGCGGGCGGGACAGGAACCCGGAGCCGGCCGCCGTCCCGACCGCCCCGCGGGGCTCCCCGGGAGCAGGACCCCCGCCCCGCCCTGCCCGGCTCCAGGCTCAGCCCTGCCTGCGGCCCGCCCCGGCCCGGCCCTCACCAGCCGCCCGTGGTCCGACAGGACGCGCACAGACACGGCCCCGAAGTGCTGCAGCAGATCCTCCTTCTCCGCCGCCGTCAGCTCGGCGGGCAGGTGCCGCACCAGCAGCGTGCGCCCGCGCCGCCGCGAGACACCGGGGTGCGGCGGGACGCCGGGGTGCGGCGGAATAGCGCCCAGCCCCGGGCCCAGCCCCGGGCCCAGCCCCGGGCCGCCCGCCCGCAGCTCCTCTGCGCCCAGCGCCGCCATCGCCGCGCAGGGCCGAGCACCGCCGCGCGCCGCCCGAAACAAATCGCGCGAGAGCCGGGGTGAGGCCGCTGCCTCAGGTCTCGCGAGACTTTGGCCCCGGGTGGAGGTGGCGCGATTCGCGCGCTAAGGCAGGAGCGCCCTTTCCGCACGGAGCCCGCCTGGGGGAGTCCGCGATGCTGCTCCTGAGAGAGACGCCAGCCTTCCTTTTTAATGCGTAGCAGTTTTCAGGCCAAATCCTAAGAAGTGTTGCTCTCAAAAGTGCCCTCTCCTCAGCCTTTGGTTGGAAAGACTTGTCCCTCCCTTACCTGAACAGCGAGGTACTGTGGCTGGCACAAGCATGAACCTGCTGCCTTGGGCAGCAGCTGTGCCTGGCCAAGGGAAACAGCTGTAATTACAACCTGGGACAGTGAGGATGGACGAATTCCTGCCACCTACCACTGCAGGCACACAGGCGGCTCTGAAGTCTGCCCCGTTTTGGTGGACAGTAGGCCATGATCTTGAAGAGAGTCCCCGATCTTGACTGATGAAATCTCAGGTCTTACCCTACTTATTTAGGTGTTTGTGAGCTGGCAAAAGCCCTGCCTGCCTGTGTCAGTATTGCCACTGGCTGTGGGTCCCACATAGGCACAGTGCCCGATGCTGCAGTGCAGAACTTGCCGTGGCTTTGAGCAGCTGGAGCGGACAGGGACAGCCAGGCCCTGGCACTGTGCTGGGGTGTGCTGTAGCCAACCACAGAGAAAATGTGCTTGGTACCTGGTCAATAGGGACAGGTGTTTCCTATACCTCTCCATAGAAAAGCAGGCCCTTCAGTCCAGAAAGTCCTTAAGGCCCCTTCAGTGTTCCTGAGTGGTCATGATGCAGTGCACCTGAACAGTCTTGGCCATGCATATTTGGTGACTGGACACTGACATTTTGGGCAAAGACCTGGCCATTGTGGGTTGTCACAACGGTCTCATTAGGGCGATCAGATGAGAATCCAAATTTGTCCAAACGAGTTTGGGAAGGATTTGGATAAAAACAGGATGTTCTAAAGGGATCTATGAGAAAAGCAGAAATGTAGGAGCAATTTTTTAGAGGATCTGCTACTCCATTTTTGTTGCTGTCATAAGTATAAGCTAGGAGATATCTGTGAACTGGTAAGCAGGTAGAATAATTGACACAGTGTGCAAATAGAGCAGTGTATTTTCTCTCTTGACAACACCAGCACTACTGTTTTTTTTCTGAGACTGTTGACACTTTAACACTGGCTTGCCTAGCCAGTTCTGTGTGTGGCTTATGGTTTGTATAAAGTCCAGAAGATTTTCTGGGATATGCTGGTCAACATGCAATTGTAGCAGATAGGAAGATAATAACTGTAAAAGCAAGCCTATGGTGGTTGTGTTGTTGCATCCTGTTTAAATTGGCATGACTTGCAGTTTGCTCCTGGGTAATGACTTCAGAGAACTTTTTGTGCAGCAGATCTGTGAAACTTGTAGGCAAAGCAAACCTTCCTGTTTCATTTTAGTGCTGTAGCACATTCCAGTTATTAATCTGCACATCATTCACCAGATGGTGAAATAATTATATAACATCAAATATGTTTTCTCTTCAGAATTAAGGAACACTATTCCCAGTTCTGCTTAGAGAAGGCTGAGGAAAATGTGTACTCTTAAGGTACACTGAACAATTGACAAGAACAGTTTCACTTGAAATAACCAGTATCTCATGGCTCTTCAGCCCAGCTGCTACTCCTAGCACAAAATACTCCTCAAAAAAAGAACCTCTTTTGAAGTCTCTTTACCCTGTTTGTTAGACAAGGCTGCTGAAGCTGAGCACCTCTAGAGCAGAGGTTTAACATAGCAACATGCAAGTCAAGTTGATAGAAAATTCACATGTGTTTTTTCTAAGAACAGAAAGTAAAAAAAAGATAATTCTATGGCCATCATGTCTACAGTCAAAATATTTTAATAATGTTACCTTTTTTACTTTCCAAGCTGTGTAATTTGTAGATTTTTGAACAGAGTTCCTCAACAACAGTGCATTATATTTTTGTGTTGAAATCCATGGCTTAGAAGTTCCTTGTTTATACAGAGATTGAATGTAAGTGCTTTAGCAGTACCAGCATGATCCAGAACTACAGATTTAATGGGGTGGGAAAGGCGGGAGATCCTTTTGGAGCAATCTCTACTCAAAGCAGGGTCACTACTGAAATACAACCACATCATTCAGGACTGTTACAGTGCGTGCAGTGGTGAGTTGCAGCTACCTTCTGAAAGCGTCTCCAACCAAAGGTGTTTGGGTAGGCAGACAAGCACACAATCCTACACACAGCAGCCATGGATAGCGGTGTGGGGGCTGAAGAATCAGCCAGTGGAAGGACTGTGACATTCCCCTGGAGAGCTTCTCCACAGGCTAGGCACTTTCTCTTATAGTGAGAAAGTGTCCCTCCCAGAGACCTTTGCAAGTTTTATGTTGATTTATTGTATCCTATTGGTTTTCTTCCCCCTCACTCTACCCTATTACTTGTATCCCAGTTTCCCCCCACCCCTCTCTTTCCCTATATAAACCCCAGTTTTTCCCCTGTTGAGTGAGAGCTGCTGTCACTGGCTCCCTTTGCAGAGGGTCCTTCTCTTAATAAAGGCCTGTTCTCTGTGGAACGCCACACAGTGCTCTAGTCCCTCTCTGCGTCGCCTGAGAGCTGCCGCTGAGCCTGAGCTGACAATCACTTGCCGGGCAAGGGAGGTGCCTGTGCCCCTGGGCTGTCTCTAAAGGTGCTTCTTCAGGGAGGTCGTGGCACCCCTGCCATCCATCCCGCTGCAGCAAGTAGTGCCCAACATGAGGCATTCAAGGAGCCCCTGAAAAAGTGTCCACCCACAGTTGTCATTGCGGTGTGTTCCCCTGTTGGAGCTGCCACCCCCTGAGGGGAACCCCTTGTGTTCTAGCAAGAGGGCAATCCAAAGGGCAAAAACGACCGGGACCCTTGCCAACTATCCAGGGTGAAAAAGAAGAGCCCATGAGGACTGGCCGTCAGGTGACCACCTGCCCACTGGCTTTTCGTTGGCCTTGCCAGCATCAGCCAAAGAAAAAGGATGAGTTTTACATTTTCAAGTTTTTCAACTTTCTCAGGCCTTTCTCATTTTTATTAGCATTTTACCACTGTGTGGGGAATGAGACATTCAGGATGGGAAATCGTCTAAGCAGACCTAAGCTTACTCCTCCTGAAAGGGACTTTTATATCCAAATTGTGGGCACCCTTTTGCTGGAGATTTTAAGTTTTCTAAGGGGAGTTTGAAAAGATTTGTTCATTGGGTTTTTAAGCATTTCCCAAAGGCTAATCACAATTCTGTTTATTTGGGCTCATTCTGGGACGAAGTTGGGAAGGAGTTTTATTCAGTTCAAGCAAACGGGGATTTTTCAGTTGCAAAGTTTTCCCCTTTGTTTCATCTTATTGTTCAATCAGTGGATAAATGGGGGAAAGTTTCAGGAGAAGTTTCAGGTCGGCAGTTCAAAACCCCATCCCCTTTTCCCTCTCCCCGTGATCCCAAATCCCTCTCCACATTTGAGGGGCGGTCAGCAGGTGGTTGTCACCAGCAGGCACAGGGTTGCCACCATCTCCCTGAAACCACCCTACAGGCTCTCTCCACTTGCCAGGATGGCACTGGCTATGCCACCCTGGACCTGCCCTCAAACCTTCTTCCCATGCCCACTTTCCCAGTTCCATCTCCTAATTATTAATTCCCCTCAAGATGGCGCCGGCAACGTGGCCAGCCCCGCCGTTTTGTCTTCCTCACACCCAAGTTTTCCCGCCCTTTCTCCACAAAATGGCCACTTTCCTGCCTCTACCCCTTCTTTTCCGGTCGCGTCCTGCTCCTCCTCCCTCCCCACTACGTTGTTGGGTGTAACTGCATCGGGCCCCTCCCCTTCTACTGGGAAAGCCCTTCCCATCGCGGACCCCATCCACGCTCCTTCCAACTTGTGCTCCTCTCCTGGTAGCACGCACACTCCCGGTCCCTACAACACCAGGACCGGAAGTCAGAATGACAACAACCAAAAGGAAGCCATCTTGGCTTCCACAACTTCACAGAAACAGGCAAGTTCCAGTTGCCCTAAATGGCCACGCTGTTACTAAGCACCCTCCATCCCCCACAGAGGATGCGAGCAGTGTGTCCTCATACTCAGATTATGAGTATGATGACCACTGGGCCGAAACTCAAAGGGAGGCTACTCGGGCCAGGGACTCAGCCCTGTCCAAAAAGATCTTCGTCTTCCCTGTAGTGTACAGGCGTGACAGGGCAAAGGCAAATATCGCAGTGTGGGAATCAATCCACTACCAGGAGCTGCAGGAGCTCTGCAAAGCGGCTGAACATCATGGCCGGGGGTCACAGTTTAAAAAAAATTTATTCAAAGCCACCTTCATTGTTCACCTCACGGTTCCCCATGATACTAAAAACATCATGAATTGCCTCCTATCCCCAGCAGAATATATGCTGTGGGAAAGGCAATGGAAAAAACAACTCAAACAGTTGGCAGATTCATATTCCAAAGATGCCAACAAACCAAATTTATCATTGGAACAGTTGGCAGGTGAAGGTGACTTCCAAAAACCCCAAGGGACCAAACCAGGGACTTAGACAAGGCCACCTTAAAAGAAATTGCTAATGCTGCCAAAATGTCACTCTTTATAACCCCTGATGACAAAATCCCAACACAATGCTTCATAAACATAGAACAAGGGTCAAGTGAATCTATCATTAAATACATTGATAAACTGAAATTAGTTATTGAGAAACAAGTGGAGGGCCCAGAGGCTCAAAAAGAACTTTCGGTAAAAGTAGCCATGGTGAATGCCAACACTGAATGCAAAGGCATTCTAAGAGCCTTTCCCCTTGACCCTGAACCTACCATAGAACAGATGGTTGAAGCCTGTACAAAACATGCATCTGTGGAAAACACAGTGGCATTAGCAGTTGCTAAAGGGGTTGCAGAGGGCATGTCCAGTGCCTACTCAGTGGCAGCAAACCAAGACTAA